TTTGGGTCGGTTTGTATAGTTGACAATGAACTTTAGTTGCCTATATAAAGAACTTTGTATGATGTAAACAGAAAAAATTTGCTCATCCCTAATTTTCATATTTTTAATTTTATAGTTTTCTCTCTTTTTTCTCTTTTCTCTCTTCTTCTTCTCCATCTTTCATTTTTTTTAAATATTTATTCCAACAAAATATCTTTTTTGTTCTTTTACATTTTAATAAAAAAAAACAGAAATTATAAAATAATATATAATTTAGCTTTCTCACACAATATTTATTAATTTATATGAAATACTCAAACGTATAGTTTAAAATGGAGAGAGTAAGTACTAAATAGTAAATGGTTTTTTTTCTAAGATTCTAATTGATGTAATTCAAAACTCTTGACTTTGGATCCATCAATAGTATCAGTAATATTAAGAATCTTATTCTATTCACTCTAACATTATGGTAAAGTTTATCCATAACCAAATGAAATTGGTTGTTCATACTCAACATACCATTGACGACTAGCCCATAGGTTTAGGGTCCTTCCCATGGTAATTGCACATGAAAGCTAACCCGTCATTAATTAACCATAATGATATTTTCATTAGCCAATTTTTTAATTGATAAGTGGAAAACAAAAACACCTGAGACATGCCTCTTTAGCGTTTACTATACTTTGTCACTATTTTTTCCAATGCAACTCTCATTATTCAATCTAATCCCTACGTTTTTCAAAGTTCTTGTGATATTTTTAAGGTTTAATATTTTTGGTTTATGTAGGTTAATATTGTATAATTGACGGGTTCTTTAGTTATTATTCAATTCAAAGAGTTTGATGAATTGTTGATTACGTGACAATCCAATCTTGAACCAAGTCATTTTTTTTCTAATCCAAAAAAGTAGTACAAGTAGAGTTTTTATATTAAGGATAGTTGTTGGAAAGGTTGAAGGTAATGTGGAAGATCTTCAAAAGGAGATACTTTTTATGGTCTAAAAGCTTGAGGATAAGATTAGAGTGAGTTGAAAATTTGGTTTTGCGTATGTTTTGATTAAATAATTAGTTAAGATTCTCGTGTCAGCCTAGTTGGTTGCCAGGAGAGTTTATACTGATGAACAACTGTTATGTTGTGTCATTAGATTATATTCTAGCTGGCTTTTAGAATTCAACTTGTATTCTTTTGAAAAGAAAAACTATAGGTTGTATGAAAGGTTACGAGAACAAGCAAACACAATTAATTAAGAACAACCCAGAAGAGTTATTGAATATAAGAGTTATTTCATTTATAAAGTGTTTAATTTTTACTTTTTTAAATAACATAGCATTTTTAATTCACATTTGTATTTCAACAACCTCTCTTTTAAATATGTACATTTACTATACTTCTCATTAAAAAGAAGCTATTTCATTCCTATTCACTTGTAAAAGTTGACACTATTACCACGTCATTGACACTTCAATTGGATACACTGTCTAACCACCATGTCATGAAGGATTTCAATACAAGAAACTGATCTCTTATTAGAACCATTAGTTTTGATATCACTGATAAGTCACGAGAAAAAGCAATCACATTGGTTAAGAGTAACACGCAAGTGAAATAGACACCACATATTTATCTCAAATCTTAAAACATTAGAGTGAGTCATCTTATTTATAAAATATTTAACCTTTTTCGAACAACAGAGGACTTTCAACTCACACTTGTATTTTAAGTTTTAACATAAGTTCATAAAGTCGACTCAATTCATAGGTTCAATCCATTCAAAACGCGTCTGGTAGTGACATATAGGTGGACCTGTATTCACTAACACCGCATAGGAGCGCATCCCTCGTTTCATTAGGATCGTTGATGTACATCTAACGGTTGTTCGTATTGTTGGAATCGATCTTGATAGAATAAGATTCATTCACTTTCTTAATTGATCATAGATTCTCGTTTTTTAATTTTTCCTCGAGTGATTCAACCTCAAGTAGGTTGTAAAACGATTCTCTGCACAGATTTGAAGAGAGTAGATAATTTTAGAGGGAAGAGAGAAGAGAGAGAAAATTTAGGTTTCGGAAGAAGAAAAGAAGAATGTATTGAATTGAATTATTTTACAAGTACAAATATTCTTTCTATTTATAATGAGATTATTTGCACATCAAATAGTTCTCAAAATAACTCCCTTAAACTTATTACAACATGAATTTGATATTCTAACTTCGACTTAATACAAGTTGTACGTGGCTATCTATCAAATACATTTAACTTCGACTACTATTTATTGTATTCGACTTACTGTAGAATAGATATAGATTCAACTATTATACACTTTATTCGACTACTATTCTGATGACTACATTCAATTACTATTACACACTTTAATACATATTTCACACCAAATAATATAAAAATTACATATTTAACACGTATTTCACGCCAAATAATACCGAGAGAATTGTAATCAACATCTCATCGATTTCTATTTAAGTTCATATTCATAGTCATAATTTTGTGTGATTTTCTCTAATATAAATCATTTGTGTACTTAGCCACATTTTAGCAATGAGTTACTTTGATATGCCTGTGTTTGTGTAGTTTTTTTCAGTGCAGTTATAATTTTGTTTTAAAATAAATTTGTTAAAATTTATTTTACTCGTATAAAAAGAGAGTAAGTAAATTTAAATCTCATGATTTTAGAAAAGTATATCTAATAACTATTGTGTCAACAATTATAAATCCATAGTAGGTATAAATGCATAATGTTAATGACTTCAATAAGTAAATAGTAACACATATTTTAAAATGAATTTTTTTTTCTTCCAAAACAGCATTTGTTTTGGAAAGGAGGAAGTAGACTACAAATCCAAACCACAAATTGGAATTGTCTTTCGAGTACTTTGTAGCATTCAAATACAAATAGAGTTTGCTTGCTTTTTGCTTCTATCTTTGTAGTATAAAAAATTCAAGAAATTTAACTTGGTACGAAGTGGAAAAACTAATGATATAAATAATCAATTCAAGAAATTTAACTTGGTACAAAGTGGAAAAACTAATGATATAAATAATCATATTTGAGTTAACACAGACCATTAAACGGCATGGGGCATATTTTTGTCAGTATTTTAGTGTGGAATAGGTGAAGAGTTTAGACTCGCATCTTTTAATATATGTGTCACTTTGTCTTTTCTTTTTTTTTTTTTAGATTTTTGCGGACTCAAAAATTAACATAAATTTTTATATTTTTAAATTTAAGAAGTAGAGTGTCCCCAAATTCGCTCTCACTATTTTGCAAGGCGGATCAAAGTTAAGCTTGCACTCTCAATTATGCTCGTCGAGTCCCGCCCTAGTTTTTTGTGTGTTTTTTTGGGCTGGATTAAGAACGATATGTTTGGTACCCCTAACAATACGCATTAACGCATTAAATGACATAAAATGCAACTATATTTCTTGTTATTGATATAAATTTTTAGTTGTTATTTTAAATTCTAGTAGTTAATCGATTGAAATTTCATTTTTTAAAGATGAATAAGTGAGATGTTTAAGTTTAAATTCGCGTTTCTACAATTTCATGTCCCTCCACAAATATCAACAGATCTCAATTAATAGGACTCTCAAAAAAATACAACACAAATTTTCCAGGAGATCATTTATCTTACAACTACTCTCCTTCAATCACACTCAACTCAAAATTACGTGATCCTAAAATTGTGTAATCTTGTAGGATGAAAAAGCAAAATACAAAATTTGCATTGTGTGCTTGAAAAGTTTCACAATCCTTAAAGATATATTTATAAAAATGAAACACTTATTAATTATATAATTTTTGCAAAATTGATTTAGAATTTAATTTGACTTCCTAGGCTCTTTTAGATCAGTTGTTGAACATCAATAGTTGTCATCTATTGCAAGCTAATTTTGAAAAGTTAAGTCAAGCTATGAACCTTAAATTTTTAGACCAAGGATTTGACAGTCGTATTTATCTATGCTACTCATCCCTCACCATTCCGGTATGTGTCATTGTCACGAGGGTTGAGAGTGAGATAGTTGGGTCCATGACCCTGCCTTATGGCTACAATTTGGCAGAACATGATCATGTATTATAAGTTTAAAACAAGGACAGTAAGATAAGAGGGACCAACTCATAATGTTCCAAAAATCTCGCAATTGATTAAGACACAATACATGTCACATAGCCAATAGTGTGTAACCTGCTCCTTAATTAACAAACCATATCACGATGAGCTTTTAAGGACATCTGGTGAATGGTGACAACACAGTGTGTCCCCCCTCTTCAAATCTACTCTCTCATTTATCAGCTTGTGAGTTACCGATACTTTCAATAATGGTGTTTTCTATGTTTCATTTGCTTAATGTTGACATTGACAAACAAATGTAACTTGTCCTCAAATCACAAGGGGACCATGCTAATCTATAGTTCGACCGAATGGTATGTATTATGGAAAGTCTGGTCAATAATTGTTTCCGTCATAATTTGAATTCTGATTCTAAACCACATTAACCATTTGAGTTCAACTACTTTGTGAATATCGAAAATACTTGAAACCGCCACCAACAATATTATGTTAATAATGGAAGTATGAGGATTGAAGAACTCAAAATAAGATAAAATTTAATGGAGCATACTAAGAAGCACGGTCAAAAGTCAAAACCAAAAGTTGTAAGTTGCTGGCACAAGCATTGCTAATAAATCTTTTATTTTTTGTTCTTTGTGTAATTCTTGGTATGCTATTGAAGTATATGTTCAAACATAAAGGGTCTGATTCGCAACTGCGAAGATTAATCTTTAGAATCAGACAGGACTAGACTACATGGGTAGCAAAGAATCAGATTTGAACTCGAGATAAGCTCGAAGAGACTTGTACAACCTCATACCATATTCTAAAACTAAATGAAGGGCTATAAGAAGAAAACAAAACTTGTGCAAACTATTCTTGTGTATAAAATAAAATGACTTGCTATCATGCAGAGTCGGCAAAAAAATGTGACTGCGGAATTCCATTTCTATGAATCTAGCCTGTTCCATCTCCCAAGTCAGCTGCAACTTCACCACTAGTTGGCCTGCAAGGTTTCAAAATAAATAAATAAAATCAGAAAATAAATTATATATCTCTAAGACTAAACATTAACCCTTATTTAGATTTCTTAAAATATAGATCAAGACTAACTCATCCTCATAAAATCAGTTTGTAAGACGGAGGATGTCTCCCACTTATAAACTTTTTTTAGGCCATATCACGTTTAATATGAGACTCTTAACACACACCTGTCCTGTCTAGAAATGGACATATCGAGTGTGAATCAATAACAAATAGTCCAACGGAACTAATAAACACGAATACCGCCTTAGAATTTAGTTTGAAACTAGCTTAACCCTACTACAAAATCGGCCAGTCAGGAACAGAAGAATCAAGCCACCATTAACAATATATTTACTCTTGTGGCGAGTCCTCACTAAACTTATCTCTCCAGGAGTGTGGTGTCTTCTATTATTTCTATCTTTATCTATTGCTTAACTTTTGTCATTTATTTCTTACTATTTTGCCATTTTTGTTGTTCTTTCTATTAATATTTTTGTGTTACCGATAAAGAGGACAAAGTTTTGATCTTTGTTTCATCTTCTTGAAGTAGAAATTGTGCACATTTAAGGATAAAGGTTTAATCCTAAGGATCCCCTACTAATATTCATTCTTGAACCTTTACTGATTCAAATTCATATTGTGCTGAAGTACTATTATGTCTGTCAACTTTGCAAATGAATAAAGTTTAACTTTGTTCTTTTTTCCACAAAGGAAGTCACTTGCGTCATTTACTTCCATAAAGGCACAACCTTTGTTGCTTATTTCTTCATCTCACTATCATTCTCATGATTAAACAAATGTCAATTTGATGACTATCGATAAAAGCTAAATTTGTCTAGCAATGGATCACATCACAAACTACAACCAAGACAAAAAAAATGGTGTCAAATTTTAGTAGTTTCCAACTTTGGGGAACTAAGAGGAACAGTATTTGACATTGTGGAGGGAAATACCATTATGATACCATGTTGAAGTTATAGGATTTTAGATAAAGAGGGATAGCAAAGAATAAGAACTTTGAAATCTGAATATGGTTTAATATGATTGATGAATAAGACTTGATAAGAAAAGACTAAACCCTAACCCTTACTTAAAATACAAGACTCAAATCCTAAATGAATAAAGAAACGGGTGGAAAACCATGTCTGTGGCGCAATGCAATCAAACATGAAAATAATGAAGCAACTAATTGGAGCTTTTGATTCAATGTGGTTCTTCACCGCAATTTTGATCAAATTGATGGGCATCCAAACGTACACAAAATATCCTCCATTATAATATCAAGAGACTATAATATTTTGGTCATATCTTACTTGTCATGACACGCAATTTGGTAGGATCACAGTGCTTATACTAGGATTGGTAACATCAGACAACTTTCAGCAAGACAATATAAGCATAGTGCTTGATCAGCAACCATTTTGGTGGGTTGAATTCTGCAACATGGTTACTAGAAAACCTTTTTTCCCGGATGAATACGAAAGCCCAGACACAGATATATCTCCATGTAGTTTCCTCTCTGTCAATTCTAGGCCTCCTCTCCCCCTGCACACTCCCCCTATTTGTTAAAAACAGTGTTTTGTGTTTTTTCGTATTTTTAGTTGTTAAGCTATGAGCTACATTGTAAGTTATATTTTACCTTCTAAAAACCAACTCACAAACAGACTCTAAAGGAATAGATGAGTTGAAGCCATGGAAATGTATTTGGGCCTATGGTTTTCAACAGGAATGGGTGAGAGCATACATCAACCAGAACTCGAGGGACAATTTTTCTGGGATTTCATGAATCATGGGGGAGAAAGACAATGCAGCGGAGGCAGGTTTCTTCTTGGACTATAGTCATGCTAAACAGTACAACAACAACCACCAAGCCTTATCCCACTAAGTGGGATCGGCTATATATATCAACTTTTGTTATAACGTTCTATCCAGAACCATGCTTTTCTCCAAATCGTTAATCTCGAGATTTTTTTTAATAACTTCTATTAAGTTTTTCTAAGTCTTCCTCTACCTCTAGTTGTTTGATTTCTTTCCATCTGATCCACTCTCCTTATCACAAAATCTACAGGTCTTCTCTCTACATGCCCAAACCACCTAAGTCTATTTTTCACCATATTTTCTACTATAGACTCTCTCTAATATTATTATTTATAATCTTATCTCGTCTCATCTTACCACACATCTAACGCAACATCCTCATCTCTGCTACACTTATTTTATTCTCGTTTTGATTCTTAACTGCCCAACATTTTGTCCCGTACAACATCGCAGATCTCACTACAGTCCAATAAAATTGTCCCTTCACGAACGGTACCTTTGTGTCAAATAAATTCCCTAAAGTCCTCCTCCATTTTAGTTAGCTTGAATTTGATGGTTTAGATCTCCTTTTATTTCTCCATCATTTTGTATAATGGATCCAAGATATTTAAACCGCGTGACCTGTGGAATGGATATGTTCTCCAATTTTCACCTCTAGGTTAGAAACGCTTCCTTTTGTTGAACTTACATTCCATATATTTCGTCTTACTTTATTTTAAGCGAAAGTCATGCGTTTCTAAAGTTAGCCTCCAAGTCTCCAGCCTCTCATTTAAATCCTCTATTGACTCTCATTTAAATCCTCTAACTCTTGGATGTGTTCAGTGAATACATCCAAAATTAAAGTAAAAAGATAGGGACTTAAGGTTGAACCTAGATACAAACCTATTGTAATGGGGAAATCGTTTGTCTCTCCACCATGTGTCTGCACACTAGTGGATACCCTTTCATTCATATCTTGGATAACTTGAATATATGCAATCCTAACCCCTTTCTTCTCTAGGACTTTTCACAAAATTTCACTAGGCAGCACTCTATCATACGCCTTCTCTAAGTCAATAAAAATGAAGTGCAACACAGCTACATCTAAATGCAATCAATAGTTAATAATGAGTGTAACACTTTTAGAGTTACACTGGCGTAATTTGTCAATTTGTAGGATCTTATGATCCAAGTTATCCCACAATTTACCAATTTGTAGGATCTTATGATCCAAGTTACCATCCCAAATTTACGATTTCCACCCCCTTTCCAATCCTAAGTAAAATTTCGATATTGACTAGTGACTATATTGCCTCTAACATTAAGGTTCAGTTTCATACAAAATAACCAATATCTGAAATCCAGAGATTACAGCCTTTATGAGCAGAAGTTTACTGCAGTTATTTCAGACTAAATTTCATTTAAATCATTAATTGCCTATATATCTTTGTTTAATTTCCTCTTTTCCTTTGTAATCGAGAGAAAAATAAATAGTACTTAAATAAAACAGAAGAATACTACAGAGCAAACTACAAAAGAATAAATATCTCTTAAAAAGTTTAAGTAATGCACTTACAGTCCACCTAAAACTTTGATTGTGTCGTAGAAAAACCATTGCATAGTTATGGAAGGACCAACCAGCAACATTCTAATAGGAAGGCTCCTGGTAAATAAATTGGCCAGTCCAATTTTTCTGATAGCCTGCCATAAAATAAGCGATACACGTTTAGTACAATGGCTTCACTCGCTGAAAGAAGTATCATAATTCATCATAAACCAAATGCAATGAAGACAATACCAGCATAAGACTATCAGCTTTTCTGTTATAAAGAGAAGCTACTATATTGTCAGCAGGGTTAGAAACAAAGCTACCAACAGATCCAGCGGTATATCCAGCTAAACATGTCACACCGAGTTGTTGAGCTTTTGAACATTCCTCCTTTTTTCTTTTGACAACATTACGATACAAAAAATCAACAGAATGCTCGAACGTTGAGAACATAACCATGGAAACTGTTAGCAAAAAAAGCAGGATTTAATATTCAGTTCAATGATGAACAGCTGTAAGAGATATAGACTTATAACCTATCACTGAAGCTACTCTTTCAATCACCATGCTAATCCAAAGATATAAATATAGCGTTCATATTTTGTTAATTTTTAAATATAAAGTTGTACACTGCAGCCCTAACTAGTGCAAGATTAAATAAAATTTCGAGAGATTATGAAATTACATGGAATGTTTCGACCCAAAAGTGGAACAAGTCCACGGTAGAATCTGCAAGTAGTACATAAAATAGAAGAAAAATAATCATTATCATCTCCTAAAGACAGATACACGTCAAGTAGGAAACTAACATATTGAAATACTTCTTACCCTCGTGCGCCTTCTGATGCATATACCTTCGGGAATCCATCTAACATGCCCTTGGCAAAACTAGGCTGTGCTTGAACCCTGACTTTAACAGCTTCAAATGGACATAAGGCTAAATTGGCAAATACTTCAGCAGATGCACTACTAAGAAAGAACACAAGACTCCTATGCTGGTCTACTAATACATTGGAGTAAACCCCCTTAAAATATTCATAAAGACCGAATCTACACCCTCCTTGAGCACCGTATCCAAAGAACTTTCCTGTCCAACCTTTCCAGAGGACAGAAGGCCCTTGTTCCCTCAATAAGGTAGTAAAGCACGACGAAATACTGTGATATTTAATAGGGTGCACCTGCATGTAACAACATCACTTCCACCATTAAATATAATTAAACCAGCATCATGATCAATTCGAAACATTAGGGTGAAAAATGATTCTCATGGTCAAAAACATTCAAAATTTCCAAATTTCGTTTGGTTTTAAAACCCTCAAATTTCAAGGGGAAAGGACCAATACTCCGGAATTCAGCCTCCGGAATTCAGCCCCAGATGTAAGTTAAGTTTGGCAAATGAAGGTTCTAGTCACGATTCAAACTCAGGAACCCCAATTTTTCAACACTATTTGTTCATTAATGTATAAATCATTCTCACACATAAAGGGTAGCCCCAAAAAAAAACTGTTTCCCCATCCCACATATATTGCAACTAAATATTAGGGTACAGAATCATTCTCATGCATAAAAGGGTAGCCAGAAATATTCAATTTTTCCACATTTTTACATTCTTAAACCATAAACGGCATCCCAAAAAACTGTATTTCCACACAAAATTATAACAAAACTTTAGGGTGCAAAATAACACTCATACACAAAAGGGTAGCTAAAAAATTAAATTTTTCCACTTCCCCATTATCATAACCTAATCAATCAAAATAAAAAACAAGTTAAATTGAAATACAACCTGCATGTTAACTTTCACAACATCAAGAGGAGTGGTGACAAGGTGAGTGGTACCAGCACTAAGCATTCCTCCAATGGTGCAAAGGGCATAATACCTTGGCGTTAATTCCTCGGAGATTCTTCCTTCAATCGCCGCGGGGATTCTTCCTTCAATCCCCGCGGGGATTCTTCCTTCAATGGCCGCCATGATCTTGTTGTTAACTTTCTTGAGTGTAAAGAAGTTACGTTCCAAGAAGCTCCATTTATTCGTTTGCTGAATTCTCACGTGTTTAGATTGAGGAAAAGGAACAAAATTAGAGGTTGTTAGAGTGACACAATAGAACAAAACAGAACTTTATGTGAATTGAATCTGATTCTACATACCTCAATAGTCAAAGAATGCACCCATTTTGTTGGAACTTCTTTGGCCTTTCGAAAAGCTAGTTGAGTCCAATTTATTGCCCTATAAAAATTAAAATTAAAACAATAATGGAGCAATTACTAAGAATTTAGTCACTAAATTATTACTTTTTTCACAATGAAATATAAAGAAAGATGGCATGTAAAAAGTATGTATTTAGTTTAATCAATTTTTTATTTATATTTCATAGAGGGAGTATCATTTATTAGTAAATTAATTTATGAATTATATCAGTTGCTCCTAAACAAAATCCTTATATGTTAACTACTCAATAGCACTATCATGATATGTTAGAATCTCTTCCAATTAAATTTGAGATTCTGATATCAAAATTAGTTTTCAGAATGTAACAGTGATAAATTTTTAAAGTAAGAGTTTTGAAGTTTGTTGTGGTCATTTCTGACTCAAGAGATTAATCTATATAATTGCATATAGAAAATATTAATAAATTCTTACGAGTTAAGTGAAAGACAAGTTGCTTGATGTCATTCAAAATCAAAATATCAAAGGTTTGAATTTGCGTCTCATAACATAAAATGTCTTCATAACTATTGTTATCTTTGTTTGTTGTTTACACTTAAAAAAAATTAAGTTGATGCCAAAATGTCCTACATCTAAATTAAGAATTAGTTTGAGTCGAATGAATGAACAATCGAATTATAATTGGTTAAATATTAGTGAATCAAATTCTTCTTATGTTCAAATAGTCTCACAAAAATTATTATGTATCATAAACTAACCAAAGACATGATAAAAGATTTTGTGGGCCACATTTTTTGCCAATAGAATAATGCGTTCTTACTCAATCTATAAATACAACTTATAAATATCTTCATGTTTTTTTTTTTTTAATTTTCATTAATTAAAAAAAAAATCAAAAATTATATTCGACACTCTTTAGATGAGTTACAACCAAATAAAAAAGTTGAAATTTATCCGTCACGGCTAGAATTTACCTAGACGCTTAAATTTAAGAAAAAGTTTTCAACACCATGGAACCATCATCGTAATAAAAAATGTTAACTATTCAAAGACCAATTGATTCACTCCAAAACTTTAGGAATGTCAATAAACATAATTTATTTATTCTCTGATGCCTTAGTTAATCCATCTTATGAAATAAGAGTCATGGCCACGCCCTTCATCGTATAACAAATTGATACGAGTTACATGAAATCATAACAAATAGTTAAAAAAATTTAAACAACAAGATTCATAACGAAGTTCAATATGTAAGAGAACTGGAAGCTAAATTCAATTAAGATATGCCAATCCAGTTTGTGGCACCTAAGATTATTGATGGACAAATAGAGGTTGAGATTGAAGAAGAAGAAGAAGATGTGGCATCGGAAGTACGATTCTGGGAAACGACACTGATTATGTATGTTATAGGAGGTGACTTGAGTATGAATGTTGTGAAGAATTATATGACAAGGGCATGAAATTTTGTGACATTGTCAGAAATGTATTACAACGAAGAGGGCTATTTCATCTTGAAGTTCAAATCTGGGAAGGACAGAGATGAAGTGCTGACGAAGGGGCCTTACACAAGTCACAACATGCCGACGGTAATAATGGAATGGAGGCAAGATTTTTCAATGGAGAGAGATATGTTGAGAACGGTACCTATCTGGATCAAGCTCCCCTCAATTGCCACTTCATTTGTGGGGGGCGAAAAGCTTGGGAAAGATTGGAAGTGCAATAGAAAATTCTTTGTTCACGGATGAATGTACGGCGGGGAAACTGAGAGTGTGGAGGTTGATGCTACACAAAAGTTATGTGAGGAAATCACCATCAAGGGTCATGAAGGAAGCAGAAGGTGGAATATGAATGGCGGCCAAAATATTGCGAAAGATGTCAGAAAATGGGGCACGTCTGCAATGATGCAGGTCAAGACATGGAAACCAAAAGCTACCCAAGAGGAGAACAAAGCAACACACAGAGAGCATCCGGGGATGGTGAAATAGATCCAGGAAAAGGAACCAACGATGTAGACATTGTCACACCACAAAACAACAAGTGGATTGATGTCAACCGCAAGAGTTGAGACAATGGGAAGAAGGTAATGACTGGAACTCAGATTAAGAATCTCTTTTGTTCTAATGGTTTTGAAACCCTAGGAGTTTGGGAGGACCCTAAGGTAACTCCTAAGGGAGATCCATGATTATCTCATGGAATGTTCGGGGGCTGAATAAGAAAGCCGGAAATAGAGAGATTGCTTCTCGTCTCTCTCGGCTCAACCCGGAGATAGCAATTTTGTTGGAAACTAGAGTGAAACAAAAAAAAGGCTGAGAAATCTAGACAATTGTTGGGGAAACATTGGTCCATTATTGACAATTACCAAGATCATGTTAGTGGTAGAGTGTGGATCCTTTGGGATGGTAGCAGGGTTGATATTAGAAGAGTTACTAGCACTGCGCGGTGTGTTCATTGTGGAGTGTATAGTAAGGAAAGTTTGCTAAAATACTGGTTAATTGCAGTATACGCATCTAATCAGCTGGAGAATAGAAAGAATCTTTGGAATGACCTAGAGAAAATAGGCATAAATCAAAATGGACCTTGGGTTTTAATAGGCGATTTTAACAATGTCCTAAGTGTCCATGACAGAATAGGGGGAAAGATTATCAAAGAGTTTGAGTACAAGGATTTGAAAAATATGATGGAAAATATGGGCCTATTTGAGATTAATACTAAAGGTGATAGGTACACTTAGTTTAATAAACATGCAATTCACTCGTGTATTGATAGGGCAATTGCCAACGTAGAGTGGATCCAAATGCATATAAATTATAATCTGTATGTATTAGAAGCAGGTGCATTTGGAATAGGGGTAATGGATTTCTTTAATAGGGGTGTTTTTGATAAAAGGTTTAATAGAACCTTGGTGACACTTATCCCAAAACATGATCAAGCTAAAACCATTAGAGAGTATAGGCCGATTTCTTGCTATACTGCTGTGTATAAAATTATTTCCAAGGTGATGGCCAGTAGGATGAGTAAGGTGCTACCGCGTATCATTAGCAAAAACCAAGCTGCGTTTGTGCTGGACAAAATATCCATGACCATGTTTTACTACCGTATGAACTGATCAAAGGGCACAGTAGGAAGAGTGGAATGCCAAAATGCATGATACAGATGGATATTCAGAAAGCCTACGGTTTTGTGGATTGGCAAGCTCTGAGTACAATTTTCTCTGAAGTTGGTTTTCCAAGAAAATTCATTTGTTGGATCATGAATGCAGTCACAACCGTTAGTTATCAATTCAACATAAACTGTGTTTATACGGATGTTATGCAGGCTTGAAGAGGTCTCCGGCAGGGGGACCCGATCTCTCCCTTATTATTTGTCGTCGTACTGGAATATTTGCATAGGAAGTTTTATGATCTCCCGTTGATTCCTAACTTTAATTTCCATAGTAAATGTGAAAAGCTTCGCATTGCTGATATCAGTTTCGCAGATGATCTCCTTCTCTTCACTAGAGAGGATTAAATTTCTGTGCAACTGGTCATGGATTGATTCCATGCGTTTTCGTCTTCCACTGGCCTCTATGTTAATCCGGCCAAATGCAAATTATTCTGTGGTGGAATGGACATAGATACAGTGACTGAAATAAAAAATTTAACTGGGTTTGCTGCTGGTGCTTTAAATTTAAGGTACTTCAGAATCCCCAATTTTAGTAATTATTTATTTAATTAAATTAATGTTTAATTAAATTAATTAATTTATGTAATTTGTTTGAATTAATTAAATTAATTGATTTATTTGATATATTTGAATTAGTTGATTTATTGAATTTATATGAAATATTTGATTTATATGAATTAAGTGAATTATTAAATTTATATAAATTATTTGATTTATTTGAGTTGTTTGGATTAATTGATTTATTGGACATATTTGAAATAATTGATTTAATTTATTTGATATATTCTGTTGGGTAGAATAATATAGAATTGCTAGATTAATTAATTGGGCCTAATTGAGCGTGTGAATAGAAATGAGTTAGTAAGTCCATTAGAAATTATTAGGTTTTGAGAAATTGTGAGTTTAAGAAGAATAGAAAGAGATAAAAAGTTAGTAAAGAGAAAGAAAGAGGGCTATAGGGAAAGAAGAGGGGAGAAGAAGAACCAAGAGAGGGAGCTCAAGAAATCATCAGAAATCAAGATAAGGGTGAGTTTTTATATGATTATTAGGATTGTATGATAGTGTATGATGGGTAGTATCATATTTAGGATAAAAATCTCTAATTTCCATAGTTTTGAAATTTATGATTACATGATATATGATGATAGGATCCTTATATATGTGTTGTGGGCTGTTATAATTGTCATATAATGGTAGGATTTCGAATTCTAGAACTGGGGCTTTTTACGAAATTGAAATCGGAGGTCCGGAAGACCTCCAACGGTGGAAAACGCAGAAAATTATGTATTTTGCGTTGTTTGCGTCGACGCATACTAAATGCGTTTTATGGATTTTGTTTCGGCCTTTCATGCGTCGATTGACCTGTCGCTAGCGGTCGACACAAGGCTGTGTATTTAGGGGTGCTCATGGATTGTTAATGTCCATAACCAATCTATAACCATAAATAATCCATATGTTATAACCGGTTATTAAAACCAATTCTCATAACCGGTTTTTATCTTTTAAAATGATTATAAATCGGTTATATCCATAACCAATTTTATAATTTGTTTTGAATTAATTTTATTTTAAAATTTATTTCCCTTTAACCTCCTTTTATGTGTGCACAAGGCCTTCAAAATTTTGGCATATTTAGGAACATG